CAAGCAGTGAAGATCGTGTCAGTTGTGTCTCTTAATGTCCAAAACCCACACTGAGATTGTGAGAGAAGTTCTTCAACAAGTGGAAGGTGCATCTGTGGTTCAGGAGGGTTCTCATAATGATCTTTCCTATGGTAGACAGTAAGGCGATCCCCTCTGTAATTTCCACTGTCAAACTTGTCCCCTGATCTGATGATTTTCACAATCATGGCATCCTTGAGTTCATTGGGGATCATGTCCTCATTATTCCAAATCCTTAAAATGAGGGCATGGAGTTGTGATGTGAGCTCCTCTTCCACTGACTTGAGGATTTCAGTGGAGATTCCATCAGCTCCTGATGCCTTGTTGTTCTGCATCTCCTTGATGGCTTTCCTCACCTTGTCACGGGTTGGAGTAATTCTGAGATCATCTTTGACTGGGTGTTGTGGGACGGAGTTGAGAGTACTTTCAGCAACAACAGCCTCAACTGAGAAGCTCTTCCAGTGGGTGTTAATGGCTCCCTTTTCCTTGATCAGGTCTCCTTTCCTCAATGCTCTGCAAAGGAGGAAAGCTTGACCCTGTCACCCAACACTGCCAACTGAGGGAAAATGAACCCATTGAGCAAAGAACACCTCCAGCCTCTTTTCTCTATTTCTAGGTGAGCATAAGCAAGAGTGATTTGTTTAGGACTGGAAACACTAGACGTCTAAATCAAACCACTCCCTTTCATGCTTGTTTGTGTAGGGAGATAGTTTACTCTTAGAGCAGGAACTTGTACTGAACAGGCACTTGATTGCTAGCAGGGGACCTTTATTTGCCTATATACATTCTATTTTATGCCTGTATACTCATATAAGGATATATCTGTTCATAGTAACTAGATTTTCTTTCTTTCGTTCTTTGCAGCTATGTCATTTTAAAATAAAGTGGCTACTAAACAAGATCAGTTCCTTTTTTTAACGACGTGAATGAGTGTTGTGTTACGTCAAAAGAGGGAAGCAGATGTGGGATGAAAGGGAACTGCAAAGGAAAAAGAAAATGTTTATTTAAAAAAAAAATCATGCTATAATTCAGAAATATTCCTTTTGGGGCTCCTTTCCCCACCTTGTGGGGCTTGTTAGGGTTTGCCTGCTTATGGCTCTTGTGGCCATATATTTTGCTCCTGGCTCTCAGTGGAGTTTGTACCCTCATTGCTGTGTACTGCCTAAGTCCCCTCTTTCAGGTCATTGAGTTATCAAGTCACTCTTATGGTTGTAGGGTTTCTACCAAGTATGGCAGAAAGTGCAGTGTGAAATTGCCAGGCCTGTAAGGTGGCCCCATGGGTTGTTGGTTTTCCTCACCCCCTGTTTGGCCTGCTACAGATTCTTCATCTTTGTCTAGCAATTTAGTTCAGGTCTTGCACTCCCTGTTCCTGCAGGTGACCTGCAGCTAGGCTGCATCTCTCTTCACATCCAGAGAGGAAAAAGAGATTTAGCTGATATGCTCTTGTTTTGCTGAGATGTGCGTACAGGAAAAGGCATTTCCAAACGTGCTAGGGGAGGGGCCAGCAACCCTTTACAAACTGCATGCTGGAATAACCTGGCTCCAGTCCAGTGTGGGCCAGTTAGCTTCAGTGGTGCTTTGATGGCTGGAAGGTTTTCCTTATGTCTGCATTGGGGCAGGTAACTGGGAGCTGCACCCATGTTAGCAGTGCTTCCCCCCACTCCCGCAGCTGTTGCATGGGTGCAGCTTCCAGCTGGTAATTGGATTTATGCTGCTGCTGCTTCTCCCAAGCCCCCACCCCTGCCTTGCCCCAGAGCAGCTTCCCACCAGCTGGAAGTTGCACCCAAACTGTAGCCACAGTGGGGTGGGGAAGGAAGCAGGGGTGGTGTGGATGCAGTTTGCAGATACCTCTCCCCAGTGCAGCACCCGGCAGACTGGAAGCTGTGCTAGTTCCACAGCAGGGGGCTGGAAGAAGCAGCAGTGGTGTGGCTGGAGCTCCTAGCTACTTGGCCCCAGCACTGGCACAGGCAAAGCCTCCAAAATCACCCAGCCTGCATTAGACTGGAGCCAGCAGGGCAGGGAAAAGCAGCAGTCTTGCAGGTATAGCTCCCAGCTGCCTGGCTCTGGTAAGCCCTCCAGCTCAGTAGGCCATATTGACCTGCAGGCTGTCATGTCATCAACCCCTGTGCTAGGCAGCTGCCTTCTGCCCACTGACTTGTGGGCCGTGGAGTTAAGAATTTTCATTTGAGCAGACCCTCTTGCAGAAACAAGGGCAGTGTGGGACCAGTAATACAGCATCTACTTTTTGCTTTTTTTGCTGGTGGATCTCTGGCTGAGGACCTGCCTTTTGTGGAGCTGGTCTAATTCAGGAGACAGAGGCTGAATTCTGCACCTTGTACTGAAAGTGTGCACAGTAAAACCTATGGTGGCAAAAGGCAATGCCTGCTGATTACTGTTTATAGAGACCAACCCTGATACTAGGGCAGAGTGCATGGGGATAAATTTCCCTCTTACAGCATGACACACCTAAGCAATGTTGTGCAACTTTACTGGGCCATTTCTTAACTTGAATGCTTATCTTTACACATTATCTTAATGCCATTTCTTTGAACATTGAAGACTGGAGTGCCAAATGCATTTTGTAGAGAGGGCCAGATTAGACTACAAAGTCTACAAAAGTAAAGCTACATACTACCCTACATCCCCTGATCCCTCCATAAAAGGTTACAAGCATCTTACGAGAAAACATTTTCTTGATTTCCTCGTGCTCAAAATACCTGAATGTGTTTCGTTGAAAATTATAAGAAGTCATGTTGAGGGAGAAAGCATGGAAAAATTCATTTAGAAAAGGTTTCAGAAATGTGTAAGTGAGTGAGAACAGGATGCTAGAGTTGAAACGGTTGTACAATGCACTGTTCACTAGTGTACAATAAGTGAATACCCAGCAATGCCACCTTTCTGTCTTTTCTGAGTTTTCCCCAGCTTTCACCCAGGTCCTGTAGCCTGGTCTCCTAAGTATCTGTCTGGTCACCTACCTTTCCATGGCATCAATACATGAAGAATTTGTGCCTGTGACTAGGTGCACATTTAGCAGAGCGTTCCATGACTCACTCCAAGTCTATACTTAATGCCAGTGAAGGTTTTCAAATGCTTCCTCCCTAGAGTCTAATTTAGGTGCTGTTTTTACATTGTAAATTAAACATAGCCAACTAACTAAATATGTAGCAGGAACAATTTGGACTGGGTGTGGCTAGATGCTAGTCACACTGACTAGTCCTCTTGCTCTTAGAATAAAACCAATATGTTCCTATTACTAAGGGTTTGGTTAACAGCCATAAAAATATAAGTTCTGACTTCTATAATTAAAGTTGAGGCCCAATTTCCATTCTAATGTTCCTTTACTCAGTAGCTTGTAATTGTGTCTCAGATTTCTTTTGGGGTGAATTTTTCCGTTCTTGGTTTCAGGCAAAAAATGAATGTTTTCGGAAAGTTTAATTAAACCCAATTCAGCTGTTTGAGTTATGTAGATATGAAAATATTTTCCCCATATGTTCTCCCAGTTAACCGGCTGAGCTTGTAAAATCCTGCAGCTGCAAGATTAACTACCTTGTGTGTGCATCCAGACTCATTCAGTGTTGAAGTCAATGTTGAAGTCCAGGCTCGTTCAATGTCAAAGTCCGTAGCTCAAAAGCACACATGCACTGTAATAATCTTATTCTGTGCTCACTTAATCCTGCAGGTGCCAGTTTGTCCTATATTTTTAGGAAACATATTAGGACACAGAGAGGTTTACAAATGCAGCCATTTTCAGGTACCTCTATAAAATAAAATAAAATAAAATAAAATAGGTAGGAAATGGTTAGGGATGCAGCTAAAAGATGGCTGCAATTAAATTTTGCAGAAAAGTCCCTATTTGAGCACGGCATGGATCATGTTGATCATCCGGGATTCTGGTTTTCTTGGATTGAAAAAAATCCCCAATTTTTGGTTAAAAAGTAACGTCAAATCCACATTTATCTGTGATTTAAATAGAACCGATATATCTATATATCTATATCTATATGTGTGTGCGTGTGTATATATATGTATAAATGTGGATTTGGGGTTACTTTTTAACCAGAAGTTGGGGTAACTATATATATACGTATGTGTATATATTTGTGTGTATGTATGTGTGTGTGTGTGTGTGTGTGTGTGTATGTGTATATATATATATATATATATATATACATATATATACACACACACACACGTTTCACTTTCATTTCATTTTTCACTTGGAAAAATGTGGATTTAGGGTTCCTTTTTTTTAAACCCAAAATTGGGGAGTTTTTAAATCAGAGAAAACCAGGATTGGTGCGGATCATACGGGTGAATATCATGGGGTGCGTCCTGCAGACTTAGCACAGCAGTTAGTATAAGTAGAAACCTGTTTGTGGGGGGGGGGGGGGGGTGTAGGTTGGAGAGGTATTTCAAGGCACTTTGGTGGCAGTGACTAGCTTGAATGCTGCTGCACGTTTCCAGTTTTGGGACTAAGGGCAAGCCGGGTCTCTCTCAGCTGTCTGCTCTGGTGACTGAGGGCTCTGCCCAAGAAGCAGCTTTGCGATCCGCAGCCGCTGCCGCATGGGTGAGGGCAGGCAGGGTGCGGGACCTGAGCTGCCTTCCAGGTACTCTGGAGCAGACACAAGAGGAAAAGGAGAAAAAAAATTAATACGCCTCCCCGTCGGGGAATCGAACCCCGGTCTCCCGCGTGACAGGCGGGGATACTTACCACTATACTAACGAGGAGTGGCGTGGAAATGTTTTTGCTGCCAGCCCTCAAGAGCTCTGCCAATCCACGGTGGTGAGAGCAGCTTAGCGAATGGTGCATCCCAGCAGCCTTTGCTCAATTTCTCGCAATGCCCCCTGGGCGCTGTAGTTCACACCGCCCCTTTCTCTGGCTGCGGATGCGGGCGCCGAACTCCCCTTCCCATGGGGCCGCGCGCGGGCCCCAGCCCGGCTCCCGGCGCAGCCCGGGGCGCGGGGCAGTAGGAGCCAGAGTCATGGCAGAGCATGAGCGCGACGGGCTGCGCTGCCTGGTAGCGCCCGCGCCGCCCCTGCCGCTGCGCGCGCGTGTGAGATCTGCACGTGTGTGTGTGTGTGTGTGTGTGTGTGTGTGTGTGTGACCCGTGTGAGAGATCCGTGTGTGTATGTCTGTGTCCCGTGTATATGTGACCTGCGTGTGAGATCTATGAGATCCGTGTGTGCGCGAGGTGTGTGTGTGTGTAATTCTTGATCCACCCTTGCATGGGCTGAAATGTTGCTCCTTGGCTGTTTGTCTTTCCAGTACATTCGTGGTGGGTGGGGCGTGTCAGACTGCGGGCTGTGTTGAGGGGGCAGCGCTGGGCAGTGGTCCGGCCAGGTCAGGCCCGCACTCAGGCCCTGCCTGCTGGGTTCAGCCTGCCAGGCTGGTTCAGCGTGGTGCTGGACTGCTCCCATCGCTGCCCACAGTACAGACCAGACTGGTCCCATGCTCCCTGTGCAGTACGTAGGGCAGGTTCAGCGTACACCACAGCAGGGTGTGGGTCCCATCCAAGACCCACATTCAGCACCAGGGGCCGTATCTCTGACCGCCTTCATGTAGCAAAATGAAGGTGCCACTGACTTCCAGAGAGTCCTGGACGTAACTTACTTAAATAACAGATGTTTGACATGGACAGAGACACTTTAAAGATCAGCTGCTATTTCTTCAGTTACATTTCCAGTCATGAATTTAAAGTGTTGCTTAAACGTTTTGCAGTCACTACATAACACTTGTTTGGTTACAGGTGTTGGATACAAAAGACCTTCAGATACATAAAGTGACCGTTAATGGAGAGGAGGCAAAATTTGTTCTTGGAGAAAGGCACAGTTTCAAAGGGTCACCACTGGAAATTACTCTTCCTTTTGAACTAAGAAGGTATCCATATATATGTGTTTGTATTCTCCTCTGGTTAAGTCATACAAACCAGTTACCTACATTCTGCAAAAGAGACCTACCAAACTGTTGAAAGCATAATGCTTTTTACAATATTCTGTGCTTACAGGTGATTGCATTCTTATTCTTACTGTGCTATGTGCTTTATAACTGTCTCTAATTTCTAACATGCTGGGGTTTTTTTAAGTTTGCTTTTGTTCAGAATTGTGCTGTTAAACTTCTTTTTTAATAGGTAGGTGGAATGAAAAGTGTCTCTGTCAAGATCTAAATTCTGACTCTTGATTCTGTAGGCTTCTCTTGTGCACTTGATAAGTAGGGATTGCTCAGGACCTCTGGCCAACCTCAGTAAAGCAGTACAGAGAGCTGTGATCTTCATATTCCTTGCTTTTATAGGGACTGATCTTGCATTCCTGGCAAACTCCTCATTTCCATTTGTAGTCGGCTGGAAATGTTTGTACAGAGTATGCAAGTTAAGCTTATCAACTACAGCTGCAGAAATGCAAAGCTCTAAGAATCTGAACTGCAATTTTTGGCATCTTGATGACAGAGGAGCTGATTAAAATGTAGCGTTAAGTAAAAAATTATTACCAATTGTCTTTGACAATTGAGACCCTTCTCTGTTTGATTTATCATCTAGCCAAACTAAAAGTCATCTTCCATATACTAATCTGGCCATGTTTGAATAATGTGTAAATGTTTACGTTGACTCTTAAGATGTTAAATTTTCAAAACTGGTCATTACTTCTGAAGTCATAGTGTTGGTTTCTTCCACAGCTGGCAGGGGTACAAGGGACTGCAGAACTAGCAGTCTTATCTAGTTTTATGAGTAGTTTAAATGGGAGACAAAGAAGTGTTCCACAATATTGACTCCTTGTTAAACAAAATTAATATTGGTGAGATTTAAAATAAGTCCCGTGTGTCTTGTAGTTGAGTTGTCAGTATCTGTGCCATGGATATGGGGAGAAGTACAAAGTAGTGGGTATTCTAGGATCGTTTTGATTTCCTGCTATAAGTAGACCCCTCTAGGAACTATCTGGACTAGCTGGCTTAAGGCTTGTTTCCCCCTCTATTGCTAGCCTTTTTTTTTGTAAGAGACCTGGCTATTTTATCATTCCAGTTAGGTACTTCATCTGCCAATGAGGAGACAAAGGTTTTGGTCCAAGGAGTTTACAAGCCTGTATTAACACACCACTCTGCATGTGAGGATAACAAAACTGGAGGGAATAACATCTGTAGGCACATGTGTTTTATTTGGTAGTTAACTTGTGCACCTCAAAATGATTCGTTTTATTTTGTTGTTAGTGGTATTGCAAAGTGCACACACTTATAAACTACATGTGTACCTGGCTGACTTATCAAGATGTTCAGCTTCTCTGATTTTAAGTAGAGGTTGTTCTACTTTATGATAATGATGTATTGTTAATTCCAAGAGAGGGTCACATATGTGAGCTACCTTTCAGATAACAAGGCAGTTATCAGTTGTTTAATATACTGCTGACAACTATGTTTTTTTTTTCCCCCTTCAGCTGGCATATTCAGATTGTACTTTGGATTCAGAATCTCATGTTATGCTCTTTGTCTCTTTTTGGAATGAGTTGATAAATGCTGTGTGTTGAATAAAATTGGGGCGTTTTGTGTTTTTTCTTTAATCCTGCTTGTGTGCTTTTTTGTTTATGTACCAGTTTAATTTATAACCATGCTTTTCCTCAAATAGATTCAGTAAATGTGACACTATTTTACTTATGAGTTAAAAATATTTTGACTTTCAAAATGCACAACACCTCTTTTAATAAGGCATGTGTACATATAACATGCTTTATCAGCTTCTTGTTGTGGTTTCTTACTGAAGTGTAAATAGGTTTTAGATAGTAGTTCATCGAACAATTATGTGAAAGTTACAGACTTTGCTAGGACTCTTGCAAGAAAAATAATACAGTTTTTTTAACTCTTAGGGTTGTGGAAAGAAGGATATCTATTTAATAAAGACAGCAAAAGAATAATTATCTTGGGGTTATTCACACTTGAAAAAAGATCTAGGAGTTGTTGGCAGGCAAGGTTCTTTGAGTAGATATGATATCTTTTTATTAGCCCAACTGAGTAGTTGGAAAAAAGTTTTTGGTAAGCTTCTGGGCGCAGTTACCCTTCTTCAGGCATAGGGAGTCTGCTGATCTGAGACTCCAAGGAATGACGAGCAGAGACTCCCTCTGCCTGAAGAAGGATGACTGTGCCCAAAAGTTTGCCAAGAACTTTTTTCCAACTACTCACTTGGTCTAAGAAAAGATATCACATCTGCTTAAAGAACCTTGCCTGCCTATGTCCTTAGATCAGCATGGCTACAACCAAAAACCCTAGCAGTTGTTGGTATACTTGTATCATAAGCACAGGGAAAAAGTAGTTTTAACACACAGCTTGTCCAAATCTTCAGTTTTTCTGAGGAAGTTCTGCAAAACTTGGTATTACAGTATTTTCAAACAGGATTTTCCTTTGAATTCAGCTCTGATGCATGGGGTATGTCAGAAATGCCTAATTATGTTTTTAACTCATATAGGGGGCAAGATGTAATTGTGGAAGTTACTTTTGACACCTCCCCAAAATCTTCAGCACTCCAGTGGTTTACTCCGGAACAAACATCTGGGAAGAAGCATCCATTTCTCTTCAGTCAGTGTCAGGTTAGGAGGACTCCTATTTTTTTTTTGTATACCTTAGTAATAGGAAGTACAAAAAACACTGTATTGCTTTCCCTGTAAGAAGCTGGTTGTCTTAAAGATAGCAAATGAAAGTCCACAATTTATAATTGTGTATCAAAGGCCAAAGTTGAAGCGCTCTACAAATGAAGGCATTTATCAGAGGTTGTGAGATTTAACAGTTGCAAAAACTGCTGTTATCTCTCCAAACTGCTTTCATAATTCAGCTCTTGAAATCAATATCTTTTTCCATACCGTTATTTCCTGTATTTCCCAATTTCCTGTAGCAAGTCTGTACCAAAAAGGGTAACTGTGGGCTCATCTTTATTCACATTACTGTAGATGTTATAACACTTTTCTTTGGTGTGTATGTGTGCTTTATCACAAATCAGCGCACAAAAATGCTGGTGATTTTTAATTTAGTGTGGTCATTTTTTTTCTAGGCTGCCCATTGCAGAGCTCTCCTTCCCTGCCAGGATACACCTTCTGTGAAAATGACATACTATGCAGAGGTAGAGGAACTCAAGTAATATATGTTGAATTAAAGAGTGCAACTACAATGGGGAAGTCTCTTGTAATTGGCAGGCTTTGGATGATCAAGATGTTGATGCTTTTCAGTCTTACTCAGATAGTGGCTTGCTAAAGTAATTCTTCAGTCTGCGCTGCAATTAAGATGTAATGCTTTTGACTTTTTACTTAACCTAATGGTTATCTTTAAGGTGTATAAACTAGATAGCAATAGTCTGTAAGCACTCTCTGTAGTTATATTATGCAAACATTTCATATACAGAGACTGCAAAATATGGTCCATTTTAAGAACAAGGAATTACAGATTTTTCCTGCTACAGCTGAAAGCTGTTTGTTTCCTTTGTGGCATTTTTCTAACTTTTAAGAGAATGAGATGTCTTTATTGACCATCCCTCCTCATATCATTATAGGCCTAGTAGAGATGGGACCCTCCTTTGTTGGGAGAGTCTATTTCTTGAGGTACAGTGGGAAGACAGACTCTTAAAGAATATGTATTAGCAGGTACCTTATTTACAGTTGTGATACAGGGCATGGGACTGCTGCAGAAGCAGAAAACTCATTTCATACCTGATGTCAAAAATTGAGTCCTTGTGTTAAAAAAATGTGGATAACTTTGTGTAAAGGTGGAAACCAACTTGCATATTTCATATCTACATCAAATCATGGTATAAGCATCCCAAAAGTTGGCCTTTTAATGGAGGTGGCCTTTTAAATATAATTCTGTTCCGTCCTTGTTTTGGGACTCTTAAAAGTCACTGAGTAAAATTGGTCATGCAGAAGTTTTCTCATGTTTTTTCTTTTCCTAAATGTGATTTTGTGATCCATGATACACAGTGTTGCTTTTCCATATGAAGTGTTCTGTCTTGAATCTGACTTTCATACTTCTTAACTTTTATCAAGGGCTCAGGGGGGAGTTGCTCAGGCCTTGGAAAAATCACATTGTGAAACCACAAATATTAATATGGAGTAGAATTGACTTTTGAATCCTTGACCGATGTTATATGGCTTTCAGTTGATTGTGTCCCTTAAATAACATACAAGGCTGGCTGGCTGTGGATAGAGTGGTAATTTTTTTTCTTTTTGAACCAGTAAAAACTATGAGTACCTTGTGACAGTGAATTGAAAATTTGAAGGAAATATATTTGTATCTCTTAAAAGCAACTGCTTTGCCTGACAAAGTATCTTCTTAGGGAGGTGAAGCATTAATTTCTTCCCATCTCGTTTTCATTGCAACCTGAATCTTAGGGTGAAATTAACAAAAAAATAAAATAAGTCTACCTGGGGTCCCTCCTTGTTTCCAGCATTCATTATTAAATGAGGGTAGCTAACTATTAATAAAAATAACATCACTTGTTGTGCTAATTAACCTTTCCCATACTTGAATATTTCCTTTGTCTTTGTTAGGTATCTGTTCCTAAAGAACTAGTGGCTCTTATGAGTGCTAAGCGTGATGGAGAGATGCCTGACCCAGACAATGTCAATAGGAAGATATACCGTTTCAGTCAAAAGGTAAGAACAAAAGTCTAGTAGATAATCCAATAAAAGCTAGTTGCTAACGTGCTGCAAAATAACAAAACAAAATAAAAAAAGCAGTTCTTATTCTGGTATCTATGAAGAGAAATTTCTTATGCAGGATGTGAGGTAATTTTCCCCACCCTATTTGGCACTGGTACAGCCTTATCAGGACTACTGTGCCTGGTTGTAGGCACATAATTTTATAAATTTTTATATATTTTTAAAAGCTGCTTTTAAAGATGATGATAAAGTTTTGTTCATGTCCTCTGGAGGAAGGATAAGAAAACAGCTTAATTTGTAGCAAAAATGGCTTGGGATTTTCAAAACATATAACTTACAAATTGTAAGGTTGTTTTAAGCCAGTGGTCTCCAAACTTTTTATAGTGAAGATCACTTTTTGGAACTAAAGGGCACCTCAGGATCTACCGCATACCCGCCCTGCCCCACCCAGCTGCCCCCTGGCCTGCCCTGCCCTGCCCTGCACCATCCCCCTTTCCCCACGCGCCCCTCAACTTCAGAGTGTCCCAGACCTGGCTGGGCTGGGGCCTGATCCCACTTCTGTGCCACAGCTGCACTGAGCTGCACCCACCCGGCAGCCAGAGGAATGTGGCATCAGGCTCTGGCCCAGCCAGGTCTGAAAGTCTCCACGGTCCAGGGGCACGTGGGGGTGGAGCGCAGGATGAGGTGGCTGCTGCTGCGGGCTGCCCACTGCAACCTGAGCACATGTGGGGAGGGCACAGGCCTCTGCCAAGTTACGCCCAGTAGCGAGAGGCCCCCCCATGCACCCCTGAATAACCAGATCTTCTCAGACCCAGCTGGGCTGGGGCTGCCCCCATGTGAGTCCTCGCTGCTGAACTGAGCTGCATCCGCATGTGGCCAGCTTGCAGTGGGGCTCAAGGCACAGTGACAACAGCCTCTGCTGCCTCTGGCCCCACAGACATGGGAGGGAGCCCCCCCATCCTTCCTGCACCCTTGGAGGAGCCCCTGGGGCTCCAAACCTCCCACCACCTACCCAGGCTGGGACCTCACGTACCTTTCCCAGCTCCTGGGCCACATGGCCAGTCACTCACCACGGGGGCCTTCATCTGCCCCTTCCCTCCCCCACAGATTGACCATGTGCGCATGCCCAGCTGTCCCCCCAGCCCAGGATTTACCAAAAGAGGCTCCGGGATCTACCTGTAGATTGGGATCCTGGGTTGGTGACCACTGTTTTAAGCCCTAGAACAGACCGTGAACGCAGGTTATGGAATCTACTTTGGAGATTTACAAGAATGGGTGATAAACTTTTTTTGTTGGGCATGATATAAATATGTTTATCCTGAGTCACTGCTGAAGGGGTGGAGTAGGTGATCTCTTGATGTTCCTTTTGGCCCTACATTTCTGTGATTTTTGTTTCAAAAAGCCAGCAAGAGAACTAGAGAGCTTAATTTTAATCAAAATAGAATGCTTTGGGGGAATAAACCTGTGCTACCCTTTGGGTTTAAGGGCATGTTCCAATGAAACTGCATTACTTAAAAATAAATTTGGTTAAAAGTATACAACAGCAATAAAACAGCTGTCTGTCCTAGTGCAATACAGATGTAATAGGAATTCAATACTGAACAAATACCAAAACACCTAGAGCTCTTGTATCCAGCAATGCATAGATGGTTTGAAAGGTACAGTCTGTCACAACCCAAAGGTGTGATTTTGTGTGTGCGCGCTTCGGCACTGCTAAATTATTTCCCGCCACGAGGAGCTTTCTTTGCAGGGTGCATTTCTTAGTTGCAAAGAGAAAACCCCGGTGCAAAGAAGTTCCCGCCACCCGCATGCAAAGTTGTGTCCCACTATTGGCCAGTTCTAAATTATTCCCACGTGGCGGCTAGTGATTGGCTTGCTACCCGTATAAGAGGCTTGAGCGGTTTCCACCCAAGTTGGAGGACTCCACAAGCATCTGGAGGAGGAGGAGGACTTCATGTCTCGTGAAGATCTCTAAGCGCTGCGGAGCCTCTCGGACCCAGCGTGTACCTTGAGAAGGCTATAGGGGTCTGATCAACCTCTGGCCTGTCCCTGCCGCCGAACGATCCCTCGACAAACCCCTTCCCTGTGCGCAAGTTCCACGGAGCCTAGCAAACTTCGTGTGAGTGTATCCAGAGCTCTTCTC